ATATTTTGGAAAAAAAGTGCGGCTTATACATGGGTAATCAATTAAACAATACTCAATATTCAATTAAACAATACATATATACAATAGATACAGCCTTTTKCAAAAATTATGAGAATTGTCGAAATATCTAAATATCATAATATCGAGTGCATGATGGGTAATCCCGCGCGATGCCCTTAGTCCCTTGTCTTTGTAGTTTAGGGTTTTTTTTGGCGACAGACTTATCCGTAGTTCTGAACATTTTCTCGATGTCAACAATGAATTATTCTAGCAAACCCGCGTGTTCCGGACAATATATGGATATGGATATTATGATATTTAGATATTTAGACAATTCTCATAATTTTTGCAAAAGGCTGTAATTGATTGAAAAAAGATATATACAATATAATAACAATAAAAATTACGACTTGTCCCACATAGATACTGATTTTGGTATAAAACTTGCTTTAAAACGTTCAGTTCTACATTTGAAAAGGTTAAATTTACGAGGATTCCTTAATGTGTAGTTATGCTGTTTAAGTTCAGGCAGAAGTTCTTTCAGTTTGTTGTCTTTTTGGGTATGTATATTATTGTAGAATTTATGGCAGTGTTCTTGTCTTCTTTTGTTAAGCATTTGGAGGCCCATTATATCGAGTCCATCTTTGTATGAAAGTTGTGGACAAGCAATCTTGAGTGCACGTCGCTGCACTTGTTTGACTTGGTCGTTAAGAAATTGCGGAAGAGAAAAATGCCATACTTGGCAGGCGTACTCGAGGACTGGTCTGATAAAACAGGTGTAGACAGTGATAATGTCCTTTGGTGGGGCACCAGAACGTTTAAGAACCCTCAAAGCATATAAACGTTTGCTAGCTTTTGCACAGATATTGTCAATGTGAGCGTTCCAGGTTAAATCAGACGAGATTGTTATGCCAAGAAGTTTAAAACTTTGAACGACATCAATTTCAGATCCAGCCGAGAATAGATTGTCCAGCTCTGCAGGTTTCTTAAGAAAGGAAAAACGTAGTTCTTTAGTCTTCTTTACATTCAAGCACATGTTGTACTCAGTCCATTTAGTAATGTGGTCGATAGATGTTTGAAGGAATGAGGCTGGAGCTGATCGTGGAATAACCTCATAGATAGTATAATCGTCAACGTACTGGTTACGGGGGACAATTCCAATCGTAATTGGCTGTAAGAAATTGCTTCAATGTGATTCAAAGTAAAAAAAGGTAGATTTTCGTTAGGGGGAGATCGAATACGTTTTTGCATATAACAGAGATGGCCTTTTTCTACTATTTGCTTGCACACACCATAGTAATACTCACTGCATTTATGATCTCTCCTATGAACGGAATCCACAATAGGGACTTTAAGATGTGGCGACTACGCTTGACGGGTACGGTTRGCGGCGCTCTATTAAAAACTGGGCCGAGTACAGTCTGTCTGGCGCGTTTATAGTTTATAGTTTATAGTTGTTTGAAATTGTTATCAAAATGTCATTTGCAGAAATTCAAGACCCTATTATTCTTGCTTTTTCGACTGGCCTAATCAGCGAAGAAGAATTTTTAATTCTTTATGAGGAGTATACAGCTAGAAACCCACGTTATCCTTACTGGAACTACTATCCATTTTGCCTAGACGATCTCAATTCTGCCGAATGCGAAAGCCATTTCAGGTTAAAGAAAGACGACATTTCATTTGTAGCTGACCACTTACAACTTCCACCACGGTTTGTATGCCCTCAGGGAACTGTGTGTGATCGCTTAGAAGGTCTATGCTKGCTGCTGAAAACTGTACCAGAGCTGTGCATGATAACCAACACTATAGAAGAATGGATTTATCACTCTCACGGCTTTCGGTTATCGTCTTGGAACCAGCCATTTCTTTCAAGTGTTTGTCTTCAAGGGTATGCAGCTGCTATAGCAAGAAAGGGCTCGCCTCTTCAAAACTGTTTTGGGTTTATAGATGGAACTGTTCGCCCTATCTGTAGGCCTGGTGAAAACCAAAACGTTGTTTATAATGGTCACAAAAGAGTGCATGCTCTTAAATTTCAAGCAGTCGCGATTCCAAATGGTTTGTTAGCAAACCTTTATGGGCCTATAGAGGGTTGTCGACATGACGCTGGCATGCTTAGAGAATCAGGACTTCTTGATATACTACAAAGAGTGGCTTTAGACCAAGCTGGAAATGCTCTATGCCTATATGGAGATCCTGCATACCCCCTTAGACCTCAACTTATGTGCCCCTTTCGTCCTGGAGATGTTCCTGTCGTAACACCAGACATGNTTGTATGAAAAATAAACAGCATATTCGAAGCATATGATTAAAGCATGCTCGGAAAAATAGTCTCATTTGTGCAAAATTACTGCTTTGTAAACTTGGTAACAAAGTCAAACATAAGCTTCAGCTGCTCTTGTTGTAACTTCAACTGCTCTCTTTGTTGTTCAGCTTGGACACGGAGTTCTTCCTTTCGCAGTTCGAGCTCCTGTTTTTTGAGCTCTGTCTCATTTTCTGCTTTCTTTGCCAAAAATTGGACTGCATCAGACCCACCTCTTCTTGTTTTTCTCTTTGCAGATGGTGGTGAAATTTCATTTTCTGAAGAATCTCCTTCTTCATCACCACATTGGCTAGCCCTTGACTTGGACCAGGTTTTCATTGCTTGTTCACGACTAAACAAAGCTTTTTTTCTTTTGTTGTCTTCTTTTTTACTTCCCACCTTACTCACCTCTGGAGGCGAGTTCATTATTTCGACGATCTCCTCCAGCATTTGTTCGGTACCTGAAAGTGGTTCAGGCGACTGCCCACTACTTGCCACTTCTTTCTTATTCTTTCGTTTGAAATCTACAATAAGCTTGTTGAAATGCTCTCTCACACTTCGTTGGTCACGTGGTGCTGACTTAAAGTGAGCATAGCTGATTATTTTATCTGCAACTTCATTCCATTTCCTTCCGGCATCACTGGATCCTACTTTATACTTGTAGGGTTCGATCACCATCACTTCTCGAAGGAAGACGTTGTTTCTTTCATCTGTCCACCGGAATGTCCCACTGAAATAAATGATCAATACATATTTTCTATTGATTTTAAAGATAAGGATCCATTTTTTTTTTACATTTATAGCCATTATTTTACTAAATAGTACTGAACTTACTTATTTCTAGATGTAGATGTGCTTACGGACGAACTGCAATTAATTTGATATGAATTAAAATTATCTAAAATAATATCAATATGAATGTTTGAAATGAAGTACACTGTTTTGATTCTTAAAAAAGGCAAACATATAAATGAGGTTTCATAACTGAATGCTCGTACCTTGGTGCTGATGACATCTTTTGACTGTGACTGTGACTGAAAGAGAAAAGACCAAAGAAAATGTCTTAAGCAGTAAGTTACAAGTTAAGAAGCTCTCAAAACTTGTAGCTGAGCCCGATATCTGAGCACGAAAACTCGCTTGCTTTTCGTGTCCCCCTTACATTTAAAAACAAACTTTCTAGACAGGCTAGTTTTTGGACATCAAAATATACAAAAAATKACTATATTTTTGTACTCCAAATGGTCACCCAGGAGACTTGTAAAAGTAGAGCTACATTATTTTGCTTAAAACGATAGTTATTTGCCATTTTTACAAAAAAAGATACTCACCCTTGTCGATGCAAACCHGTTGCGTACACTACTGACCACGCTAAACTTTGTCACCGTAGTGTAGTGAAGCAAAGSTTGCAAATATGCAACACCTATTTGCAGAAATTCCGCGCAGTCCTAAACAAAGGGTGTTAATTATTTTCTCCAAGGTATTTGTGTACGAGTTTGCAAAATTTTGCATTTCAGTAAGCACAAGGACGCAGTCTAGATTGAATTATTTGGCTGGATATTACAATGTTCAGACACTGTTTGCATATCAAGTATTATGTTTTTACGGGTAAAAGCTTATTRWTCTGWAATTTCTACTGATTATGTTGTGATGACSGTGGTCAAGGCATAGATTTAGTCTCGCAAAGTCATTCGACCCAGTTCACTGATTTTAACCGTCGCGTTTTGACCGTAGTCGCGCATCTTAAAGTCGCTAATATCACTACACGTGGTACATCGAAAGGTCTTGGCACATTTCGACACTAATTATATAGCCACATATTAATCCCAAATAGGTAAAAGCTGGATTTTTCGTTAATTTTGGAATCCTGTCCAAATAAGAAATTAATTGGACAGGTTTTCAATTGGGTTTTTGTTAAAAACTGTGGTTGGCTTTTATCTATTTGGGATCAATATGTGGCTATATAATTAATAGGTAATAAGACTCCATGCTGTCYAATTAAGAAATAATTAGACTCGAAAAATTCCTCTGACTGCCAAATGGAGTCCTATTACATATAAAAATTTCTTACCGTTTTTGGTCCTATCCTTTTTGTGATGTTCGAAGCAAGAATTCAAACGACAAAACTTATTACATTCCTGGCATTCAATAAATTTCTCTTTAACACAAGTTTTACACATACCTTGCACGAGTCGTTACACGGATGGCCGATATAGATGGAATAGGGTTTGTGACACTTTTTACAAAAATACCGTCGCCCAAAGATAGAGGAAACCTTCTTTGGGTTGATCACRTCAAAATGTCCGTCGTGATGGTACAAAATGATCTTCTTTTCTCTCGCGGGTCCCTCGTAGATGATGGCATTGTTAGAATCAAAGCTATGAACAATAATCTGACACGACGGAATAACTTCCTGAAAYCTATCGATATCCTCAAGAGTACACTCTCCTACAGCTACACCGGCTTCTCTATGTAATTCAAAAGCTAATCTCTTCTGAATTGGCCTACCCCTTTTAAGCTGTTTCATTTTTTTCCCTTCGAGGGCAATCTCCCGACCCGTAACGATTGCGCGGGCACAGCACAGTTTGTCCTGTGTATTCTTAATTTTGATAATGGCTCTTTTTAATTTAGTGTGCTTTGCGCAATTTAAGACTTTAAAATATGCACCGCCTGAGGGGAGTTTTAATGCCACTACATCAATTGCAAAGGACGAATCTAACGGAATCTCGTCGTCGATTTGTAAGACAATGGCAATCTCAGAGAGAATAAGTGAAGATGATTGCTCTCTTAAAGGTAAAAGCCGATTTGACAAAGGTTTTTTGAAATGTTCCGATGTCACTAAAACACGAATCTTATCAGAACTAACTAAGTTACATTTTTGAGTGACTTCATCGATAACATTTGAAAAAAGATTATCTAAATTGTTCATGACACTGTCCATTTTAATAGTASTTTCATCTTCTGGCAAACTAACCTTGGCCCTGTAAGAACAACTCTGAACTTTAAGTTTTTTTACATCTCGCTCTGAAACAAGGTCCAATGTGTAAGGCAGGGGGTTTCTTGCTTCTCCCTCTTTATCTTTTTCCTTCTTACGCTTTCCTTCTTTTTGTGGAATTTTTTTTGTTTTCTTTAAACAATAGCRTGGCCTTTTCTTGAAATCTTTGAACTTTTTCGAAGTCGGGGGTGGATTTTCGAAGTCTCTATCCGCTCTTTTTAGAAGTCGCTTCACATATTTTTGCTTTTTTCGAATTTTTCTCACTGCAGATTCACGGGGAACGGCTGTCTTAACCATGCTGTTTCAATTGATAGAACGAAACGCGAGACCACAACTCGTTGAAGGCAAAAGTTTAGTCAAGGTTGGGCAAGAGTGTTTTGATTGGCTAGCACCCTTTACGTCACTTGATGTTTTATCGTCATTGATTAAAGAACACTGGCTAAAGACAATATGGACTGAATGAAAACAATCTGGACGATCAGAAATTCACTGAAGAGGTTAAACTTTACCCGATCTCAGCCAATCACAGTCGAGTATTTTGAGAGAGGATTAGGCACAGTAATCTTTACCCGTTGATAGCCAATCATAGATAAGCAAACAAGTAAACTTTACTTTCACGGGTAATCTTTACTCTTTCCTAAAAACATATGTTCGCGAAATGTCGAAGATTAGCAGAAACATACGGCAAAAAACATTCATAAAGCGAAATGGACGCCTTTTCGAATGATTATTACTCTCACGTACGTTTTTGTTTTTTTTTGCTAGGTCACGCGATATTTCAATACCGCGCTTTTTTGAAACACGGTCGGCGTTATTCCGTYTCGGTATCATCATCACGTTCTTTGGTTTTACATCAGTCAATCAAAATCGTAACTTCAATAACTGACTATAAGTCGTAAATATCCAAAGTAATTCACTTTATTGAATGCTTGAGTTTGTGAATTTACTGAATGTACTTTAATAGGAGTCAGAATTTACAAATGGAGTTTTATTTAACACTTCATTGAATCAATATTTCGCTGTTTTAAACTGGTTGTGAATCCATTCCCGCTGGTGCTAGCGTTTATGCAAAACAAGTTCGCCTTCAAATGGTAATCTTTACACGTACTTGCTCAATAGATACGTTCATGAAATATCGGTTTCATAAATTTATTTCCGCTATAGACAGTTTAAATAGATGAACATTCGAGAATCAAGGTCGAAATGTCGTTCATTTCGTACGGTACCRATCATCTGATATACCGATAAAGTTTTGGTCTGTCATGCAACATTATTCCGGTAGCGGGCCTTTTGACATTCGATCAACGCTTGCAATMTMAATAGATTTGCATTTATTTAACATGTAAACATTGTTCATATTTCGTACAGTCAAGCTCATTTACTCAAACTAAAATTGAAAATCATAACAACACACTTTGAATATGAAATGACTTCAACATTTATTACTTAATGTTTGCACATTYATCGATTCGAAGGATATTGTTTACAAGCACAGAATATAAAAACTTCATGGAAAGGATTCTTAAATTGCACCCATAATGCGCCCATTTCCTAAAATATAACAGAATCCGAGTATAATTTGAACTTTATATTTTTTCAGCATAGCTCTATCAAAGCTAAGCTATATTTTGGCTGGAATTCACTGTTATCGCGGTAATGTTTACCCTCTAGATGGCGCCAACGCTGTCTTAATGATTACACTGGCTGGTTTGTGGCAACTAGTCATTGTGACAGCGATTATCAACGTAAWTTTTTTGATATTCAAAAATTTCATTGTTACAGCATGAAGCGAAGATAAAAATAAATGATCATGTCGCTGTTTGAACGACGGGCGCTAAGAGACCTTCTTAAGATTTTTATTTAAAATCGTACAGTTGTGTTAAAACACAATTATATATCCCACTAACGAACAATGAAAATTATATCATTTGAACATAACAAATGCGCGATTGGCACTACCGCTTCACATCATGAGAAAGTGATAA